GCGTGAGGCACCGCTCTGCCTCTGCGCGGGGCCGCCGGGGCGGGGGCGGTCTCCGCAGACGCGTCCAGCCCAGACCGGTGTGAAAGCCGGGACGAAACTCGAAAAGCCTCTGAGCGGTCTGGGCTTTGTTCTCACCCCTCCCGTTGCCACCGGCGAGGAGTTACCAATGGTTTTTGAAGGCCAAGCGCCGCAAGTCGGACCAGGCACGGTTTCTGTTCTGCTGAACAAAGCATTCGGCGTGTGCTCCGGTGTTCGTGCAGAAACAGCCTTCACGCAGCGAAAAGCGGCGCTGCTATTTAGCCACGAGTGTCCATCATGGGAAAATGCAGAGCTGGACGTGTAACTGTGAATATCTTACAGGTTTAAATATTAACACCGCATTTTCTCTTCTTCTTTTAGCATGTTAATTTTATAATTGGTTAATTACAGCGGTTATTATGGACCTCCTTCAGCAAACACCAGTTCACGTGCCAACACCATCACTCAGACCATTTCCATTTATCTCGGTGGAAGCAGACTGCAGCTGACGGGCGCTGCGAATTCCCCCAGAACTCCAGTGTGGCGAGCAGTCGCCTGGCAGCGGCCGCGCAGAGCGCTTTGCGGTGCCCAGGTGTATCCCGCGGAACGTTACGCGACGGTCGTCAAATGCCTCTCAGCTGCTGTCTCTGCGGCTCGTGTGTGCGGCTGCCCAAAAAGCGGTCCCGAAGACAGATCGTTATTAGAAAAAGGGCAAACTCCCAAACACTCCGGGATGAAAGCTTTCATCTGTAACGTATATGTATTTACAGATTCAAAATGTTTTCAGCAGCATACTTTCTGGCATTGTTGAATTTACGTGACAGCTACATTTTCCTCTGTCAGTAGATGTCTAGAAGTTCTCAGCAGAATAAAAACCCGTTCATGTTCCTTTTGGTTAGTTATACGCTTTGGATGTAGCGGTGATGAAGCAGTGTAACAGCCTGTTCATTGTGTATGGGATGATTCTTACCCCGTAAGTCACAGAATCACAGAATGTTCGGGGTTGGAAGGGACCTCTGGGGGTCACCCAGTCCAACCCTCTGCCGAAGCAGGGTCACCCAGAGCAGGCTGCACAGGACGTTTTCCAGGTGGGTCTTAAATATCTCCAGAGAAGGAGACTCCACAGCCTCCCTGGGCAGCCTGGGCCAGGGCTCCGTCACCCTCAGACTGAAAAAGTTCTTCCTCATCCATAATAAGAACCATACAAACACACTGACTTCAACAGTTCCTCTTACCCCAGGCTGTTCCTGCCCTCCCAAACGCACAGCTGTCACGGGGGTGTTTGGGAGGAGGCCGTGTCTGTACACACAAACGCAAACACAGATTTTACCTGGAGCTACATTCACAGAAAACAGGTACCAGTCTGCTACAATTCCGCTGCCTTCACGAGGGTGCAGTTTCACGGGCCCAGTACAGAAGAGCTTCACACAAAGTGCGACTATAACGAACAGGTTTCTGTAGAAGGTCACACACATGACATGTTCTCGCCCACACACTGCAGCGAATTGGCACCGAGAATGCCAATACCCGTGTAGCTGCCTTCTAGGACTGGGATTTCAGATATTTTTAAGTATGAGGTTATGCAGTTGTTTTCCCGTGCACCTGCTCCCCACCACCCTCCGTCTCTCTGCAGGCAACCCGTAACGCTCTGGAGCTAAAACCCTTCCAGGAGTGGCACCGCAGCTCCCCGCAGGACAGCGACAGGATCCACTTCCGGAAACAGCACGCGGGGCAGGCCCTGTGCATGGAGCATTAGCACAGTCAATTTGTAACCAAGGTCCTGCTAAACCTGCTGAAGTGCAGAGTTACTGCGCGCCTTTAGCTTTCATCCCGGCAGGCGAATTTATAGAGGTTCTCATCTGTAGGCTCAAACACAGATAATGTCTCGTAAATGTAACTGGGTGGGGAACAAAAGATGGACATTCATTTTTATGCAATTTCTATATTGTGATCATTTTATTTGTTTCTTTTTTAATCAAACAAACGGAAAGGGAAAATAGACCGGTTTTATAGTTAGACCACATGAGAACACTGCAGAAGCTCATAAAATGCATTGTGCTTGCAGCAGACAAATCTGTAGTGACAATTTCGTTCTTGCTACAGACACTACCTAGCTTCATGAATCAAGGTATCATCCCCCTTTTACCTTCACTACATTATTATTAAAAACCCTTGTGGACTGAGTGTTCTGATCACTGAAGTTCTTTTGTTATGGCCTAATAAAAGGAGTATGAAGCTTGGAGACAGGAGATCTGGACTAATATCCTGGCCACATGCAGACCGACGCCAATGCTCCAATCACCTTTCAGAGAAGCTAAGAGTCAATCTTCTGCTCCAAACTTGTGTGATACTGAAAAGTTGTTTGTCTTCCTGATGAATACTTGACTCACCAGTTAAAAGGAAAACAGTGACGATGATGACATCTAACCTTGCAAAACAGTTTGAAACACCCTGAGAAGAGGGAACTAACGTGGAACATGGCTCTAATGTTGAAACTGGCCATGCTGGTGGGGCAGGGAGGTTGGACCAGTGACCTCCAGAGGTCTGTTTCAGCCAAAATTATTCTGTGGTTCTGAGAAACAGAGATGCTAAATTCAGTAAGTATGGAACCTTGGTGTTTATCTGCACAACAGGGACAGCAGTAAATTCTCTTGTGTGCCTCAGCATCTCCAGATTGCCCTGGCACAGGAAGTAACAGATCTGTAAGTGATCTATCAGTAAATGTGAAAAGACATTTAGATTTCATACCCGTTCAGTACTTGGCTCCTGGATTATAAGCAACTGTAGCAATATTTTCTGACTGAGGAGCTTACTGTAACTCCTGAAACATAAATCTATACATATGTAAAGAATTCCTTGGCATCCTTTCTTTAACAGGAAATGAGTGGGAAAGGGCATGGGAACAACTGCTTAATGGTGTTCTTTGATTGCTGTCCAGATGTTTGGAGAGATCTCATTTTTCAGTCTGCCAGGTAGGTCTGTCATGACTACAATGCAAGGCAGAAGCCTTGAAATCGTTTCCACTGGGATATTCACAAAAGCCCAGCAACATGTGAAAGTGCTTCAGGATGGTGGTTTCCAGTGGATTGTTACTAGCCCCGTCAAGCCATACTGAAAGCATTCACTTAGAACCCTGTATCAGCTGGAATTTAATTTCTGTTGACTGAAAGCTAAATTAAAACATAAAATTGGTGACTAGGCTAGATAAATAAAAACTAAATACTTTCCCTATTATTTTACATAGCTTGTCTCCTTTATGAGATGACAACCAATGCAGTGTCTTAATCCTATGAAGGTTTTATACGTGCTCAGCTCCCACTGGTGTACAGGTGTATGCTGTTTAGCCAAATTTCTCCAGATTACAGGTATATCAGGGTTTTGAAGATCTAAGCATTTACTTTTCTATCAAATTTATGGACAAATCAATCATGCATGCGTAGTAGTGTCTTTCAGCAATATTATTCTAAATTTACATTAAAGCGAACAGTTTACAACAAATACACAGTGAATTTAGACTATTCTCTCATCAGAAGTAATGCTTTCCTTCAAACGGTTTACCACAGTTTTCTGGAATTAGAATCACTGAAACGTTAGCTGGCGGGGACGTCTGGACGTCCGCTTGTCCAGCCCTGTGCCCACAGCTGGACTGCTGCCAACGCTGGATTGAACCGGCCGACGCTTCGTCGAGCAGCGTCTTGAAAACCTCCGCGGGGCAAAGATGCCGAACCTCCAGGGGCGACCTGTTCCAACGCTGCACTGCGCTGCCGATGAGAACCCTCTTCCTAGTGGCCAATCTGATCTCACTGCTATATTTTTAAATAATTCACCGCGACTAGTTGAGACAGGATCTTTACACTGCGGTAAGTCAGACACGCCATGTGATAGGATTTCTGTTACCTAATGAGATGGATACGCACGTACTTCCTCAGCCTTTCGATCTGCCTCACCTGTGATTGAAAATTCACTTTGTGTGAAAGCTTTATTGGTCCTAGAATCTGCCTAAACAAATTTTCACTGCAGCCGGTCACTTTTCAATAGTCTCAGGTATAATATGAAAATGGAAATTCAATGGAAAATACTATTTCTGCAGCAGGTTTTTAAGCAAATTTATGTTCAGCATTAGATTAAAACACTTCCGTTACTAACCCTGGGGAGGAACAACCTCATGCACCAGTACAGGCTTGGGGTGGACCTGCTGGAGAGCAGCTCTGCGGAGAGGGACCTGGGTGT